GGTTCAAGGTTGCTTGGCTTTCCCTTGACCAATGGTTACACTTCATGATTTGTGCATTCACAAAAAACAGGTCGTGTGTCTTTATCCACACTCCCCCCCGGCTTCGTTGAAGCCACTTCACAAAAACAGCTGCCCTCAGGGGTTCACTTCTTCAAAGCCATCATCCGAGCTATCCTCATCCCGCAGCTGCGATGTCATTCCAAATCGCCTTTCTCCTTCCCATGGGTTCGTCCTCCCAGAACGACTCACTGGCATCTGGGACGAAATTCCCATCCAGACTGGCACCTCATCTGGATCAGGGGCTGCCGGATCGGTCCTCTGAACATCTGGTCCTCGGTACTCCTCAGGTCGATGGGGTGCCAAGTTGTTACTGACCACCCTCCATCCATCGTTCACCATGTCAACCAATGAAGGACGTCCATCGCTCTCCGTGTCGTCCAGCGATCTACGCCAGTCCGCCCTCTCAGCCTCACCTGCCATGTCTTCAAGGACAATCCCCCAGTCTTCTTGCTCATCCTCACTCAAGGTCAAACCATCATGCCCGTGAGGACCCTGCGCCCAGTATGTCGCTGGATCATAGCCCTGGTCATCGCCGAGGTAGCCTCCTCGTCCTTGTAGGCCACGCTCGTAGCCCAAGTGCACATCTCGCCCCACAGCATCACGCCCCCTAGCCAATGCCGTTGAGCTCAAACTTGATGAACTCTCCAACGACTCCGATGTTGGGCCTCGTCTCACATAGCGCACCTCCCGCAGCAGCTCCTCTGGTTGCTCGCTTGGCGCAGTAGATTCTTCCGCCACAGGCGCTTCTCTTGGCCTCTCCTCTCCCGGCTGCTCCGCAATGCCCGGCATTGGCAGGGGTCCCGAGGTCATAGAGCTGCTCATCGAGGACGAAGTTCTGTCCCCTTGGCCCTTGGTAGTCGACGAACTGGATGTGGACGTGAGCGTCCGGGAGCCGACTCTGGCTGAACCTCCCGAAAGAAGATGTATCCCACCCAGGCATCTCTCACCGGAGGCTGCGTCATCGTTTGCCAATCATCATCCCTGATCATCCGTTCTTCATGCAGGTGGCATGTTTCATGCGGGTGGCATGATTCATGCTGGCGTCATGATTCATGCGGCTGTTATGATGTGCGCTGGTGTCAGGATGCATGCGAGTGATAATATGTAGATGTCATTGGTGTGATGACTGGTGCGGGTGCTGTGGTGGGCGTGTCATGCCCTATGCGGGTGGCAAAGAAAAACATTATTCGGATGCCGCGAATCACTTGTCATTTGTCATTTGCTCATTTGCCCAGGTGTGATCCGTCAGTCATCCGCCCAACCTGCCAGGATGCCAACAAACAAAGTTTTAAATGCTGTTTAAGTTTTACTGCTTTCGGGCCATTCATCGTTCTCCATTGCTCTGGGGCCACTCATCGTTCTTGGTTGCTTTCGGGCCACTAAACGTTCTCCGTTGCTTTCGGGGTTCTCGGTTGCTTTTGGGCCACCCAACCTTCGTTGCTTTCGGGCCACTCATTGTTCTCCGTTTTAGTTTTGTTTTATATTTTTTGTGGTGTTCTCCGGTGCTTTCGACCACCCATCGAAGTTGGCAGGGGTGACCTGCGAAAAGATTTCTCAGAAAATTGGGATGGCGTGCGATGCCTTTGCCGGGCATCTGGCTGCTTTTTTTTGCAAGGGGACGATTTACCAGAATTTGCTGCGGAACAAACTCCGCCAGATGACGAGAGAGAGGGCCAAGGAAGTATCGAAGACTATGTTTTCTCTCAAACCACGACGCCCAAGAGCCAAAGATGCAAACAACAAGTACAGGAAGAAGATGCTCAGCTTTGTTGTTTTCCCACGCTCCCCGAGCTAGTTTTAAAAACAGAACGGGTGTCCCTGAGAGTGCGGTTTTCCATTGAATTGCAGTTTGCAGATGTTTTTCTGGAAATTTTGCCACAGATAGAGACATTTCAGATATGACCAGATGCTTTGAGTATTCATAAATACAAAAAAATACAATTTTCCAGAGGTTTGGGAATCTTGGGTCTCCAAAAAAAACAAAAAACACAAAAAAATAACAATTTTCCAGAGGTCTTTGGACTTGGGGCTTCTGCAGAAAGAGTTATGAAATATTGTTTTTTGTTTTTCAACTTCTTTTTGGTTCCTCTATCTGGCGGCCCAAGCAGACAGGGGTGACCAGATGCTTTGAGTATTCATAAATACAA